GTATTTGTGTATGTGTGTATGCACAAAGTGCGGGTACGGAAATGACGAGCGAACTCGGCAGAGTCTGCTCGATTGCTTTAACTGTTAGGAACGGTTCGGAAGGTTTTTGGAATATAGGTGCTGAATGCTGAAGCCTGGGTTCTAGCGAGATAGGAAACGGGGGGCCACCGAATCAGCGAGCAAATTCGGCCCAGGCCGACCAGCTAGCCTGCCGTCAGTTCAGAAGTTAGCTGCTAGTCAATTCGGTTCTGAGTAGTTGAATAAAGGAACAGAACAAAGCGAAAAGCGAACGATGGACAGCGGAATGAAGATGATAGAAAATTAGAGGAAGAAGCCGAGGTGTTAGCAGCGGCGGCGGCGGAAACAAGGACCTAATATCCTTGAGGATGATTGTCATCAATCAGGTCCCGACTGGTCTCCTAGATATCAGCAGCAGCAGCAGCATCATGAATAGCATTAATATGTTAAACAAATAAAATATTGAAGTCGTTATTAGCAGGCGAAATCGAACATTGAAACAAAGTACAATGATCGTTGCCGTGTGGCAGCAATTTCAATTGTAGTTTATGTATTGCCCATAGGGGCTGTGGGTAGATCGTGGACTACAGTGCGAGAATGACAGTAAATAGTAGCTAACAACAGAGGCTAACGGGCCGTATCAGAGATAGCAACTAAACGACTATACGTATTCATTGGCTCAACGAAAAAGACGATATTCATCAGCTTGATGTATAAGCAAGTACTATGTATCATTATGAATATATTCATGGGATCCTCTACAAGTACAATATTAATAGCGCATATATTGTATTCTTTATTACTCGCAGACGACCGCCATCGGTCGTTGGTAGTACGTAAGAATATGTTTAGTTTACTCGACACCGTCAGGTTTACACCGGACGTGTCTGTTAGTATAGAAGCCCTAATGATCTACCCCATTCAACTCTATATAGATAAGTATTTTGGTGCATTTCTTCCGTATCACCATCCAGCTTCCTCCGTACTTACTATACTTAATAGAAATGGGAAAAAACAACACTACATCTACATCTTAAGAACTTGTTTTTATGTACTAACTAGGTACAGCGTTCGTGTTGTGTGTTGGTTTATAGAGATAAACGTATCAGAACTAGAAAGCAGTAGATTGAGTAGTAATAGAATTTTGCTCCTGGAAGCATTTTCTATAGGGCATTCGCCTTTTAGAAATATGGCTAAGCAGTTGATGGCAATGAATTTTCGATCTTAGATTAGCTACTTTTAGTCAAACTCTGGTAACACATAAATATCAGTTTACGGCGGGCATCATTCGCAGTCGCAAGGGCTGAGCGGCCGTAATCGTCGAACCATTGAATAGAACCTAGGTTGTCACCGGACGGCTGTAGATAACATCGAATTAAAATCAATGGCCACACATGTATAGAGAAAGCATATTAACCGAAGTACGATTTTCTTTATTCTTAATCGGTCCATGGCCTTTAGCTAATATTTTGTACTAAAAGTGATCCAATTTTTACTTCTTCACTATAACTGCTTCATGGAATTGTTAACCATGGAGCAACGTGCGATGATCTATATTTCCCATCGAATTTTATATCCGCGACGATCGGCCAGCGACCTTTGAAATCGTCCCTGTCTTTGCCACCATCTACCAGTTAGAAGTTTTATAGGGACTTTCAATTTTACACGAAACCACAACTTTGTGCGAATCTTCAGAACGCTGCTTGGGCTGTCTGCTTGCTTCTAGTTTATTCGCTCGAAGAGGACTGAATATAAGAAGCTTCCAGGCATTCCCGGTCGCCCTCTTCGTTGCTCAACGGAACCGCTGCCGATATCAGGAACGACTAGACCCAATAACCCGCTGAGAGCAGGCTACGTCAGCAAGCGCCTCGCTGGAGAATAACGTCGTCACCGCCATCAGCAGCAGCTGTATACTCAGTCTGTATTGCATAACTGTTTGTGACTTACAACTTAGAAATGAACCACGATACGAGTCACATTGCATAGCTGGGGGCTTCACACTGGCAAGGGTAATGACTGACTGGTAGCCGTGGTAACAACAAGGCTAACGCATTAACGTTAGAGCCTACAAGGTGTTAGTTTTATAAAAGAAGAGGACATAACTTGTTGTCTTATCGCTCATTTTTATATGTGGGCCTCTGTTGTAAAAACTCGGATAGAATGTCTCGATAAACTTCATCATGCACGTTTCTTTTAACTTATCCTTGCAAATACATTGTACAGCGCTTCCTGTATACACAACTTTGTCGTACAGAACGTATGACAACGCGAACTGAGCAAATTTGAATCCGGTTTACGCCGTTGATGCGAGATAATACGTCATCGTAGTAAATTTGCTAAAAGAGCCCGCAAAAAGTGGGTTTAGCACGTTCTAAAGTCTGAGGAAGGATAGCGCCAATTCTTTTACAGATTCGCTGCATAATATCCACCAAGCACTCAAAATATCGTATAGCAGTGTAATTTCCAGACAAAAATTTTGAGCGGTATAACCAACATGGCGGCCATGTTACACCGAATAGCCTTAGAACGAAGTAGCGTTTGAGACTTTCTTTGACTATCGGTTTTTTGCTAGTACACAGAAAATAATTACTTCACTTCTGCGTTTCACTATTATTTGACTTTTCTATCGATAGGACGAGACAAAACTTGGTTTCAATATCTATTTCAATACTACTGTGCTATAACATCCGGATTCAGAGAAAAGCTTCGTTAGGTGACAAAACGAGCAGCATAAGCGAATGTGTTGCAGATTAGCGGACTGAGCCTCTAAAATTCTGGTTGAACCGCATGAGCATGTGACCATTACACAAAATTTGTTTCAGATCAACCCCTCGTCTCCGCGTACTCGCATCGCTATCGTACAAAATAACGGTGGATATTTCACGTTGCAAAAGGCGTACTGTTTAGCTAGGATATATTGCAAACTGTTTGTCTCGTGCAACTTCACCACGTTGAATTCGAAGCGTTTACAGAACTGTACTTAATATAGTGTTTGTCACAATATTGGGTCGAGCCACTTTACGACTGTGGCTACCTGGGCGTCTGCGGTAGCTAGTGTGAAGGCCTTTGTGTGAGTCGGGCTTCTTGCCTTACTACGATCATTTTGGTAAGCAGAATTCAACCTTTTTTTAAGGCAAGACGAAGATAGTATGGGCCAGGAAGAGGACCCTGCGTAGGCAGGCATTGCTATTTTACTAGAGTCACCCTTGCGCGTACACGGTTCGTGAACTCTGTCTGCGTGACTCTTCATTAAGAATTCATGGCTCCGTTAGCCAGAGTCAGTCTACGCAGTCTCATTTCCATGACATTGTAAAATTCGAGAGGAGTTTACACCCCCGGCGAGTCATAACCTCCCTGCAATTTACGCTACTGAGTTTACGTGGGACTTTTGGTAAGGTTTTTGTAAATCATCCTGCCTCTTCTGACGTTATAGTTATTTGATATCTGGTGTAAAATTAATCTCGGCCGTATGGTTCTTGCTCCCAGCTTTACAGAATAGTGGCACGTTTGTCTGAATTACTCCCCGATTGCATAGCTAGATATGTATGGTTAATATTTAGGCTGAACGTGGTAGTTAGTCAGCCTGCAAAATCAATGGAAGCCAGAACGTTTGAAGCGCCTTTTGTCTTGTAACAAATCAGCATATCATTTCTTCTTTGAATAGTCCGAGAAAGCTTGATTTCAGTTTGGCGTTCATTGGCAGCTTTGGCGTGGCAACAATGCGTCTGTCTAAGGTCCATGGATAGAAATTAATTACTATAATATATCTATATTGTATATGTAGAACATGTTCCCCAATTCGCCAATCTATGGTTTTTCATCAATCAATAGGAAACCGTCTGAGAAGAGGCGGGCCAATCCGAGACTGCACTTTAAAGCACAAATGAATGCTCAAGGTACAGAGCCTACTCAAGGCCATTGTTGCAAAGATCATATTCACAAAGCTCTATGCTTGAACTTTACGTACAACATGAAGCCAGTTCGACGCCCCTCGAAAAATAGACCGTCTTCAAATTAGCTTCCAGGTCCTCGAGTTGAATTAAGTTAGCAAATGCACCAGTGTACAGGCGAACTATTCTGGTCGGATGGTCGGCTAGAACAGCTAATGAGACGAAGCCGAAACAAAGTACTCCGACTTATTATTCCTTGACTGAGTATCGGAAACAGAATTGAGAATATTCTCTGCACGCACCGTCTAGAACGCAGTTCATCCAGCAGCTGATTCATAGAACAAAAATTAATTCCGCCGCCCAACACGAAAATTCGGTAAACTTGAAACTCAATAGCTAGCCAAAGACATTGGCTCATAATTAGTCTGTCATACCTTTTTCCCCACAAAGTTCACTTTATGTATAGCTGATAATTATTTTGCAACACTGCATGAGTACCGTTCAAATAATTAGTACGAGCACAGTTTTTTTTTTCGTCATTTTGTCGAATTATATACACGTACTGTCGTTGTATATTTTTTTAGTATACATGTATGAACAAGGTATGTATAAAGTATGAAAGTATAACTTTTACACTTTCATACATATCTTGTTTCATATCTTTACGTTGCCTTTCTGCAGGTAACAAATCGAGCTACTATTCTTGCATTTGGTCGGTCGAGTTTAGAAAATAGTTTCGTATATTCAGTATTGTTTACTGGAGTATAGGTTCTATTCAGTATTTTCCAACAGTCGTTATGGGCCTCACTTCAACAAGAGGATTCTCAAAGATTTCATTGAACTCGAACTTGTTTGTTCGTCTCCAAGGAGGAGGGTCCCGCAAAATTCATCGTTGGCTTAAATGTGGACACTTTCACTGGACGTTATATATAGACCGTAAGCTTCTAATTTTATTAAGGTTACGGCCGATCTGCTATACAGGTTCGATCGTAGAAAAAATCGATGGTAAAAAATGAAAGCCGTCACTTAACCCATTATTATATTATAGATAACGAATTGCGCCTATGCTCTATTTACGAAATATATATATTTCGCCCTAGTGCGTAACTCCTCTGGCCAATACCGACTGCCTAATAATACTATGCCTAGTTTACGAATTTAGCTTGTTGTTGGAAAGACCTTTAACCGCCTTTTTCGGGCCACCCTTTCTTCTGCGGCGACGCCCTCTCTCTTCACTGATTCCTACGGGGTCCGGTAGGACAGCAGACTTCCCCTGACATTAGTGGCCATTAAGATAAGACAAGACCCACGATCTCATTACAACGAGCACTTGAGATGACACTTGCTTCCTTTCTTCTTGGTAATGCACTTCGCTGGCGCGGAACGAACCTTTCACGAAGGAAAGTACTGAAGGCAAGCCGAATTTTCTTGTGAATGCTGCAATAGGATCTGGTGACAGGACGACACTTACCACGTATTTGCTGGCATTCCTCGAGGAGCTCAGTGGCGTCGAGATTAGGACACGACTCCTGGAAGGTAATTGCATACTCCAATTATGCTATGCGGCAAACTTCGTTCGAGTATAGACCAAGAAAGCCAAAATGCTACCTTTGCTTTGTAGAAGACGTTTTACGGTTAGTGCACCGGTTGGAGGCCGTTCGTAATACGAATGACATGCTGCCGTCGTCCTGTGGGTGTAACCCGGAGTGCGCTCAGGGCAATGGTTTGTCATTCTTTGTATCGGCAAGTAACCTCACATGATAAAGTCGTTGCCATGTTTATCCTATACGCTATCGTTTACTGTGTTTGTTGAAGAAGAACACGTACAGTAGAGCTGAGGCTGAATGACACCTAGCAGTTGACTCTGGCGTTTATAAATGTTGAGCTGCACCATGCGAGTCTGATTTAATTTGCTCACTTACTGTTGCTAGTATGGCATTATATATCGGGCTTCGTATCGGCTGGTGTTCTGTCAACTCAGCACAACATGTTTTTTCTTTCCATTTGAATACGTAATAAGATAAAAATATCTTTCTGATCTTTTAAGCTGATTGTCAAGTATACTATAGCTGACTATGGCCATGTACTGAATCATTTATATCCAATCTCTAACGCATTTAAAAACTTCTGCTGAAGACTTGCTGGGGCAAGGATAAAGCATGATCATTCTCGCCCTATACAATTGCCGAATAAGCCTAAAGTAAATAACAATAAAGACAATGAAGGGCCATAAAGCCGTCGAGAAAAACAGAAAACTTGTATCCTTTCATCTATTTGGTGCCAGTCTTGCGTGGTAATAGCCATAACTGAAGTCAAACGGTGCTGTTTGAACGAGGGCGTGGGAAGGAATTTAAGGAAAAGATTTAAAGGGACTATAAACTATCTTTGCGTTTTTCTTTTCTGTTCAGCCTACTTCAGGGTCTGAAGTCAACGAGGCTGAGCCTGCTCGAGCCTCTCCTTCAACATCAAGGCTATCGTTGTCAAGGCGAGATCAAAAGTTCAACAAGCTGTCGTCGCCCCCAAGAATTTCTATCGTTGCTGCCTGGCACTGCCTGATGGTAGCAGTATCTTGTTGTATTTTATTAGATTTTTGCTTCATTGATGAAGAGGCGTTCCTGAGACAGCATCATCTCCCATTCGCGCGCAACGTCACTACTGGTCTCATAGCCTTTTAACAGCAGTTTTACAGTCTGTCTCTGGGGATTTATTGTCAGCAAAAACAGTGAGTAGCCCAACGTATCCTCTATTTCTCGTCTATTCTACTTACTGGTCTGCCGCGTTTGAGCTTGTGCAAATCATTACTTGCTTTTCTCAGAAACTATTATAAACAGCGGAGGTGCGAAAATAAGAAAAATAGGGAAAATGGGACAAGGCAATAAAGGAAACAAATGTCTTCTTACAGTTACAGAACAGAAGTTTTTATAGTTATGATACGAAGTCATATCGTGGCTTTAAATCAACAGCTGCTTCTTGATCAGCTGCCCGAAAATTTCCACGTCGGTAAAACAAATAGAAATTTCGGGTATCAAAAATTCAGTACCAGAAATAATGCTATCGAGCTCACCTAGACGAAAATGTCTAGTATGATAGCTTTAGATAATCGTATAGGCAAAGAATGTCCTACAATGCCCATGATAGGCCGCTCACGATTGTCCTATAAGGTTGCGAAGAAGCTTTTTTTCCACAACATCATTGTCGCCAACCTTTTTCGCAGCAAGCATTTGTCTCATAATAACTTTGATTCGGGTGGACGAAAGGACGCTGACAGTTATAGTTTTGGAATCATTATCAAACATCGGATAGAATAGAATACAAGCGAGCTGTTTCACTGAAAATTGAGGCCATGTTTATCTATGCACTACGAATTGGGTCCGTAGAAGCTCAGTGAATAGCATTGCTTGAAAATATGGATCTCCCTATGGCCAACACAATTTTCACTGAAATCATTATGCCAACATATCTGTACATTATTCTTTGTTTTATTCAGTGTAAGAGACGTTTGCAGGATCTCAATTTTTGCCGCTGGAACACCGGTACCGGTCTGGCAAATAGTATGGACTTTGAATCTGCAGGCAGGTTTTGATTCTTTGCAATTCAAGAGCTAACTCAATCAGAAGTCCTTCGTCGTGTAACCTTCTCCTAAAAAGATGGTCGAAACGAACCACTGCAGTTTATAGTGTGTCTATAAATAAAGGTCCAGTAAATCACAATCGAGTAAGAAGCGCTCAAGAATACTATCACTGATGAGAGAGTAATATAATTTGAAGGAGAGCACGGATTACGAAGGATCATGTCCTTTGTGTTCGTAACGTTACCAACAGCAACAGCTAGAACGGCTAGTGACACAGCAGAGTGAAAACGTTAGCACCGCGACCATGATTGTCCAGCGGTGACGATCGCAAAAGTGCTGGATGCTGGCAGCTCTAGGATCTAAAATTATACGTTACCCTTCCATTACTCTTGATCTCTACCAGTGCTACCGTCCCTCTATCCGTTAGGCCTTTTTCGTTTTATTCTACCTTCTCTTATTCTTTCTAACGCCGAAGCTAACGTTGTTACCACGGTTACTTTCGTTGTATTAACTTCCAGCTGCTATGCTGTGCCTTGTGCCCCCTGTTGAGGGCCAGCGCAGTGTTGGCGAGGGACTGGGATTGAAAGAGAGATGGAAGTCAGAGGACGAGAACGACGGACTAACTGACGCACGGACGGACATTGCTTTCCGCCACCACAAAAGCCCCTGCTGCTGCCACATTGATGTTGCTTCTGCGGCTGCAATCGCCGAGTTATGGAAAAGATCGATTTCCCCCTCTTGTACAGACCCTATAGGGCGCTGCCTGCGGATGGATTGGAAAGGCATGCCTGCAACTGCGGCAGAGTTGAGCACGTAAGGTTACCAAGGTCATCACCACAAAATGAATGTTGAAACCTGCTGCCTTCAGCCATGTGAGCCAAGATGGACTGTTCTGACCTCCTTTACTTTGCTTCCTTCTACGTATATACCTCTTTCTTCCTTTTCTCGCCACTATACTGCACGCTAGAGTTCGGGGATGTTCGGGCTGCATACACTCAGTAGCAGCTAGCTATCTGGTTAACACTACGTGCCAAGCTCTCTGACTGCACAGCCGAGTACGACAGTGGCTCTTTGGGGAGGGGCGACGATGGGGGAAGGAGCTAACGTGGCGGACGGGCAAGATTGAATTGGGGTAGTAGTTGGAGGTAGCGATCTGATGCGGCTGCTGCGAGTTCGGACGAGGCGGGGGCATTGGAGGCCGAGGGCACCGGTTCACTGCGGATAACGACAATATCGGATTGCGTGGACGACGTGATAGCAGGCAAGCACACGATAGCCGGCTTAGAGACGGCCTAAAGGAACATCTAGACAAAGCAGACACGACTACCACGACTGCCCGTATGACACTGTTACTTCCCGTGATCATATTAGATAAAGGATATTACGTCTCTTTTTGATAGCAAGACAGTCATTCCCTTCACGCGAGAGCCATATCGAGCAATCCGTTAGTAATCACTGCTATTAGTACTTGCTATGCACTAGGTAAACATAGTGCTATTATAAAAACGAGGTCAACGCTAATAGCTGACACGTTCACATTCTTGATACAAGTCGCAGGGTCATGATACATTCTTATTACAGCTGTCAGCGAACGTAAGCGTTCCTGCGCTGATCAATAGCGATAAGCTGGCTTCGTTATAATATCAATGCCACCCTTGTCAAGTTCTCGGCTAAACTTTTACTAAATGCTTCCCATATGTTGGACACCTGTATACACATAGTTATTATTACCTACATAAAAGCGTCATCAGCAGAGAACGTTTTCATATAGAACGCATACTTAAGTGCCTACGAATCTGCTGACCGTATTGTGAGCTAACTTGTTTTAGTTTATAAAACGGGTATGAGTCTGCATTTGGTCATGTAATAAGTAGAACCATTAGAATATTTGTTCTTAATCTGGTTTTTGAGGAGCTGGATGCATTTATGTAGTGACTTTTTTCTTCATATTCACGTGTTCATATAAATAACAAAACCTATCATAAAACCTGAAACCAGCGTTTATAGCGGACATCGTTCTGCTGTCGTCGTTGAATCGCTTTCAGAGGGATTCCTCTGTCAGAGAAATTGGGAAAAAATGGCTGCATAGAGCCATCTCCTGTATAAACGACGGCTTTCTTTAATCTCGTCGAATTGCAGGTTGGGTTTTACTTAATATACATATGTAAAATATTCCTTGAGCATTTGTCCTGGATAGCAGGCCGCCACACGGATTATCCGGAGGGCAGGTTTTAAGCCAGCACGCAGCTTCTTAAGTTTTTAATAAACGGATCATACGTACATATTGCCTAAACTTGGTCTTGCATTACACTAAATAGCTGAGTCTTCTCGTCGAAGAGTAGCGGCTGCTTATACAGACGACGCCCGAGTTGACATAATCGTAGCTATTTCGCTGTTAGCATCATTGGCTCTGTTTGGCAATATTTCTTGCTTTCATTGAGCAATGCCTGCATTCGCAATGGAGATCACTGAGTAGGTTAGAACTTGCCCACAAATGAAAACTTCTATGAATTTGAAATTGGTACTCCTTTTGCTGCATGTTTGTTCGTTGCCGTCGACAATTGGTAGTTGGATTAAATCTGTAGTCGTCGACACGATTGACGATAGCAACACCCAACTGGCCAGGGTACCCCATTGTTACTGCAGTTGTTGTTCCACATCCCCCCCTCTCTCTCTCTCTCTCTCTCTCTCTCTCTCTCTCTCTAAATTTCCCTTTCCCCTACACGCTAAAATGTCCACCGACGGTTGGTTTGTTCGCTCCGCTCGAGGGCCATTCCCCTAAGTTTTCATTTCAGGTGCTTTCTTCTAAAACGCTCGTTTCCTTCTGCGCCTCGTACGAAGTCGGACTTTCTGCCTCGGTCCCTTGTGGACATTTAGCCGGTCGGTTCTTTATAGCAATTGCCGGAATCTACTCACTAACCGTGGAGACCGATCGTGGCCTGCTGGCCAGGGCATCGTTGCCACCTTAGTGGCACTCTTTTTAAAACTAGGGCACTGGCTACAAACACAGCTGAAGCCAAATGCAGGTGGGAAGGAGCCGCGTTTGAGGTCGAAACAGCTCGACGGTAAAAGTGGCAGCGGTAGACTGTAGTCAAGAACGAAACGAGAAGGACGGGATTCGCCTGGCGGAACAGGGTTCGCTAAAAGAGTGAGTTAGAGTGTGAAAAGGTAAAAAAAAAAATTGGCAAAATAATGGTTCGCTTGGTAGTAGATAGGAGGGACATTGGAACATAGGACAAAGTCGGTATCTATGAGCGGGGCAGTATCAGAGTACGTCTGTGCTGTCCTATGTGAGCTTACGTATGCGGATACTTGTATTTCTGAGGTGGGCGTCTTTCTTGCACAAACTGCCCGCTGCTCTGCTTTTTTCTTCTTTTCTCATCCCCAAGTTGCTTCCGCCTTAATCGTTATTGGATAGTTTTCGAGAACATCGAACCAGGAATTTCGAACACATGCCCTCAAACACGAACATCCAGATCCGTAGCTATATCCAGAGACAACAGCGTGCAGTTTACAGACAGGCACTAGGACGCCAAGCAGCAGCAGATGAGATCTATTTTAATCTTCTACTATAAAACGGTTTACGCGGAGTTACTCTTACAGAGACTAGTAGCTTCGACTTGCCTTGGCTGGTACAAAAGAGGTCGTCGTTCCCGTCGAGACAGTCCTGTGTCCGACTGGTGAAGCTCCGAAACGACCAAATGGTTAAAGGAGAAAGACGACACGATAAAAGGTCCCTTCAAGAGCCGAAGACCGGTCACAGCACTTCTCTCTTCTGTCTATCGTGGTTTTTCACCACCGGCAACTCTCGTTCTTTGCAGGTCTCTCGCACGATTTCCGCTCTCCGTGGAGCTACATGGCCGTCGTTCTAATCGGTTTCTCTCGTCGGCAAGTGTACAGCCAAGAGCGATAGAGGTCGTAACATCGGCGGAAAAGGATGTATACCATTATAGAACATGCCCTCCATTGCTGTGGCTACTGACCACCCTGTCCTGTTTAGGAGGTTTCGAATCTCACAGGGTCTAAGAGCGAAGCGGAAAACTGGGCCTAGAAATCTGGGCGGAGGAGGTAACGATGATGCCAATGTTCATTTCCTTCTTCTTTTTCTCCCAAGAAGAGAATAAAAAATGCTGATGGAAGAAGCAGGCTGACACATACGAACCAGGTTTCGTGAGTTAATGGGTTCCGTTGATAGAAAAGAAAGCTCTTTTTACAGAAGGAAAAAAGAGGCTCGCCGAGCAACCTATTATATACAGTAGGAACGCAATAAATCGTTTCCATGTAGCCTTCTGTCTAGCCCGCTACTAGTAGAGTAGGGTTTGAAAGAGCTGCTTGATGCTTGTATGTCTATATGGAGTAATGTATGACTCTTGTGTATCCTGGTATGTTCATAGATAGCTCAACTAGACTCTGGCTGGGTGGTTCCTACAGCTTTTTGTTTGATGGGCGAAGTCAGTGGGGTGATGACAATGAAGCGAATGTCGAACTAGACCGACAAAACTAGTAGACAAATGTACTGCAGTGTTGGTACTGCGGTCACTGTTATTGCCATCTATAACCAACTCCGATGTCGATCGCCAGTATACAAACACGTCGAACGCTGAAACTAAGTACCTCTATCACGGCCTTTCTTAACCACAGCTTTTCGACCTTCGACTGATGTTGACTTCCGGCCGGGTCTCGAAAGACGCAGTTCGTTTGCCATTGGGCCAGGTGGATCAAACCAAGTTGTTTCTCGTGGGAGTAAGTCTGCTCTATTATTATATCTCACCAAGCCGGAGAAAACATTCAGCATCCATAAGTCAACCTGATTTTCCCGATCATTTAATCTTGATATATATTTCTTAGCGTGACGAAGCGACACGTAATCAGTGATATTATTTAGTCGATTTGCAAAAAAAGGATATAGAATAATCAAAATAGATTTAAAGTACTACCGGTTCTATATACAGACCATAAATGAGCTAGCTAATACTTGCTCTTTATGTATAATATTGCATATCTCACACTTATAGCGTGTTATACACTTCGGTTGGGACGAGAGAAAATAGCAAGCCAACGGATCTAATAGTTTACAATGGTTTAGAGCACTATTAGCTATGAAATATAGGAAATTCTATTTTGTTGCATTTATGGAAATAGCACAGTATGTTAAGGCGGCACGTTATATCAAAGATTGCAAAATCTTGCCGTTTTCGGCGAATGGTAGCATTGCGCTACCAGGTGTTTTGTCTGATCTATAAATTGTTGTTGTACTGAGCTCACACAAAAGACAGATAACCCGAAGAAGTCACCTGGTTAGATCAGCAATGTTGGCGAAACGGACGTAGAAGGACTGGCCTAGTCGATAGCGAATTCAAGTCACGTGCCAAAAAAGGCCACCATCACTAGCACTGTTTTTTAAGATGCAGGAACCGACCTTCTGAGGAAGCGTTCTGACGACAAGTTGTGACGAAACGTAAAGCAGTTGCCGAAATTCAATGTATCTAAAATGTAGATTAGATAAACAGCTGTACTAGTTACCGCAGTCATAACTACTATAGAAATTTTAAATGGAACTTCCTGCCTAAAAAAGGCAAGAATAGTTGAAAAATTGTCGCTTCATTTTCGGCACATATTTGCTGCAGTAGTTATATAATAACAGTAGTTGGTTCCATATGTGTATTCAAACAAACTTAAAGTACTTTATGGTATAACAAAGTGTTTTTGGTATATAGTGCGTAGCGTAAAGCTTTGTCGAGTCAACCTTGCCCGGCCAACTACGAAACTAAAATCAGCATGTTGCAACTATTATTTAGTCAACAGACACCTAACATCATAATTGTCTTCATATAATATATATATATATATATATATATATATATTTTTTTTTTTTTTTTTTTTCGGGTCAATCAGTGAGTGAATTTGATCCGTCCTATTATTGGACAAATAAACAATTAAGAGTCAGTAGTTCTGAGAAGATGTCATTTAAGGATAAGTTTTGTCCTTTTTGACAGTGTTTACTTAAATGATGAGAACGGGATAACTCCGTCTAATGAGTTTACGACCTTCTAAGTTTTGACGCATGGCTGTTCTAGTAAGAAGAGTAAGAAGTTAAACTCTTCACTTGTATTGACGTGAGCTTTATGAGCATCTGTGAAGCTTCTGCTTGGGTCTAGTATCACTTTGTTTGCGTAAATTGTCGTTTTACGCATGTGAAAACTCTCCAAATTGATTTTTTTTTAGACTGCTGGGCTGCGTCAAAGTTTTTTGTAGGTATCGAATTCTGAAGACATGTATTGGAATCCTTTTTGTACGTCAATCTTACAGTTGACTACGGACAAAGGCGTGTCATATGAAGGGTGTGCTTGCGTTAATAAGTATCGGCTGATGATATGTTTCATTTGTATAAGAAAGCACAATTGGTTCTGTATATTATTTGGATATTTTAAATATGCTCGTGGACCTTTGTTCACAGGAGGGAGTAATGGCAGTTCTCTAACCTCGTTAAAGCTTAGAAGGAATTATTTGTGACCTTCATGTAGATCACACAAGCATTGCTTGATGAGGTGGGGCTAAGGTTCGACTTTTAAGTATTATTAGGCGAT